TTAGGCTGGAAAGTGAATGGGTCTGGCTTCTCACCCTGTACATGGACTCCTAACCTGGAGAAATATGCTGCTTGGCGGCTCGTGGGACCAGCCTTCCAATCTGGATCTGTAGGTACATTAGTAGAGAAGGAAGAAATTCAAAGGGGAGGAAAAATACTTTCTTCTTCAATGTGCATCTTGCGGCTTTGCAAGTTTTTCCACTGAGAATATTCCTCTGACGTTTCCTTAGTGACTGAGCCAAAACTGGTCAAAGAGGTACTTGATTCACAGCCCCAGAAAAAACACTGCTATGTTTTTCTCTCCATCATTATCAGTTCCCTGTGGTACCCACCCAGCACCTTCCCTCACTGACCCTTGCCTGTCCCTTGCCGCATCACCTCTTGAGCAAGTCCTTTCCTTCTCCCAGATCAGCCTCTGGCTCTTCCCTGCCCTCCTCTTTCACGGTCCTGCAAACCACTTCCCCAGTTGCATCCTTCAGACAATATTTCCCCCTCCTATGTCAACTGCCCCACCTCTTTCCCAGCCCATGGGCTGCTGTTAGTGGTAGTGAGGGGGAAGCCATCCTGTGTGGAGGTGCAGAGTGACTAAGCCCTGTGGTCTCTCCACCTGTAAGAAAGGGTTTGCTTCTAATATTGCTGCCTGATTTACTGGTTCAGCTTCCTTCCAGATGAACAGAGGTGTCAGACAGCTTTTATTCTAAGGAGGACAACAGTTCCTGCTATATCTTACACTACATCTTCACCATTACCTCTCCGTCCTGGGACCCAGCCCTCACATCTAAGGAAAACATACTTATTTTATGCTACCATAACAGCTCAAGGGGATAAAACACAGAAATGTTAGCCCCCTTGCTGAACCTCCAGGCCTTTGTAATTTTCTGCTTTTGGAGGCATTCAAATCCTTTTTCACCCAGGAAGAATGCGAAGTTGCATCTTCCACAGCACAACCCAATTCCCTGTTGCCTGTGGTAAAGGTGGCAGGTCTCACACCCATCTGCAGCCTTGCTTTGCTGTCAGGCAGGATCAGCTGCTCTCTTGTCTATTTTGAATGTCCCTTGAGTTCAGGCACTGCTGCAGAGCAGGGGCTCTCAAACCATGGTATCTCCATAACAGTGAAGGGAATAGGAATCCCCTCCTACTTCCCTCTGTAAGTTTGCCTCCAGCACTTCCTCCCTTGAAAACCAGCCCAACCTCTCTGGCCAGCTCAAAACATCTGGTCTAAGTACATCACAAATTCAAGTCAGATAGATAACACAACAGGGACAAAACCCAAAACAAGAAAACAAACAAGAGATTGCCCCTTCATAACATTATGCCTCTGGTTTCTACTTTGGATGCTCCACCACAGTGGCTAAGCCCACCAAAGCTGCATCGCAGAAGACTTGGAGCACAGGAACTAGTGCAGACCCCCTGGCTCCACCACCACTGTTGTCTGTGCCCAGGGCATCCTGAGTGCAGCACTGCAGGGCTGCCTGTGCTGTGCAAGTCCCAGAGAGTACGGCAGAGCAACTGGAGAAGCAGGAGGCTTTTCCTTGTGGCTCCCAAGGTTGTTGGTTAGGTGCAGAGCTCTGGAAGGTGCAGAGGGAATGAAACTCCCCAGTGTACATAATGAAGCTCCTGAAAAGCTGTCCCTATAATTAGCTGTGTACACAGCGAACACGGTCAACGGGGACATTGCTTTTTCTCCCAAGCTTGTTTGCAGAACCAGAGCTTCATTCATGTCCTGTTTTGTTTCCCTCTAGCACTGAGGAAGAGTCACGTCTCTGTGCCCAATTCCTGCAGCTGTTGTGTCCATACAGGACCAAGACAAGAACCTCAGGCACCCGTGGACCAGACCAGTTCCCCACACACTGTCTGGTCTGGACCACAGAGGTGCGTGACACTGGAAGCATTTACAGTGTCAAGACTCCTCACAGATTGTCTCTGCAGAAGACCTTCCCACTCCATCTTTCTACAGAGAAAGCAGTACAACCCTGCCTAGGGAAAACAAGCTACAGCCATAAAAAAAGAGCAATTTTCACACTGAGGGAAAGCAGAATGTTTGCTGGGAGATACTGCCCTGTGTGTTCTAGGACTGGTATAAACGCAGGAGTTCAAAACCGTCACACCCCACTGACATGGGATGTTGGAAGGAGTTTGCTCTGCCTGAGCTCTGGGCCAGTGTGAGGTGAGCCATCCCTGATCCTCAGTGCTGCAGCATGTGACAGAGTCTGGGATGAGACCCTGTTGCTCCCCAGCGCTTCAGAGGGGCTGAGCCCTGTGCTCACACTCTTACACAACCATAGGGTCAGATACAACTGATCCTCCCACCACGATGTCCTTTACGCAGGGCACATGTAGGCCTGGCAAGCCTCATGCATTCCACAGGGATCTCCAATGCCAAAGTTTAGACTTCATTCATGCTCTTCTAGTCCAGCACTACAACCTCAGCCCACACCCTCGGGCTCAGCCACCAGCCAAAAGCAGCAAGACATTCTGACACTTCAGACTTCAGCCTCCTGCCCTCAGAATCTATCCTGTACTTCTGCAGACCTTCTTCAAAGCACAAAAGCCACAAGATCATCCAGCAGATTAGAGGCATACGTATTACCACTAGACACACGCTCACCCAAGAGGTCATCTGGTGCAGACAGTTCTTTTCCCTGGCCCTACTGATGGTGAGGGCATGCTTTGCTCTGCTCACCAACAGCATCTCCTGAGAAAACTCACTGAGCAGTAGAGAAACTATGCCAGCAGGCAAGGCCCCGCATGCCAAGGAGTGCTGCTGAGAAGCAGTCTTCACTTGCAGGTCCAGGACCAGCATGTAAATCCAGTGCACCAAACACAGTGGCAGGTACGTGACCACCCTGAATAGTCTTGTGCTTGAAAGAAAATGACACTTAAAAGATCTGCAGAGATGGCTCACTCCATCTGTCACATGAACACTACACCCATGCACCAATCCCGATGGCCTCGTAGGTTCCAGCTGATGATGGTGACACCTCCACTTCTGCAACTACATGCTAGTGGCACAAAGTCACTGTGAAATGACTGCCTAGAAGAGAGGACACCCAAGTAAAACAGTTTTATGGGCTGAGGGCAGGTGCCTCCACTTTTACCAGCCTAAAGAAATAAATATGCAGTGTAATGCCCCAAACTCACCTCTCCCTTGGCATCCTCACTGTTATAATCCAGCCGTGCCCAGAAGCAATACTACAGGTTCTCAGAGGCCACATGCAAACCAGAGGTTAGGAAGCACTCAGCTGTGACAAGGGGAGAACTGAACAGAGGTTGGTTGCCTCTCTCCTCTCCTTGCTGTTCCCCTGCTCTTTCCTGAACTGCCTCATTTAGGAAACAATTCTTGGCTACATGTTGACCATGGAGCTTCTAAGACCCCATAGTGCCCACTGCCTTGCCTCTTAGAGGAGAGGTCCCTGAGCAGGGCAAGAGTTGCCCAGCCTTGCCAACATCAGGCACAATCCTGAATACTGTTTTGGTCACATCACTCTTCCTTGGAGATGTGTAGCAATTTTGATTCCCCATACCAACTGTTACAGCACTGGATTTGCTTTAGATAAGCAGAGTAGAAGGGACAATAGAGCACTGGAGGAGCTAAGTCCAGCTGCATGGGAAACAGAACCTTAGGGAAACAAAAGACATTCGCTTGCCCCTCATGGAAAAGGCAAGAGCTAACACAGGGCTGGCACCTGTCTCTCTATTGTACTGAGAGCCTTCCTCATGGCCCTCATCATGGTGGCTGGTGTTTATTTTGCATCCTTTCCAGCTCCTGGCTTCTCCCTCTGTGGTGGGGAGCTGTGTTTGCCTCATTTGCAAGAACAACTTCTTTCTATTCCCAGTTCTTCTCCTTGGGTCAATCCCTGAGAAAGAGCTAAGTAAGATTTCTCAGCTCTACTCCTCTTCGGCTCCCTGTCCCAAGCCAAGTCTCTCAAGCCCTGAGAGACAATGCAGTCACTGTTTGACTGAAGCAACCATGCTTCATGCCAAAGGATGCTCAGCCAAGTATGAGGCAAGCCTACTGCATGAATCCAGTACAGCAGCACACGGATGGCTCATACCCCTCGCCTGCAAAGTCCCCATCCCCTGTACACCAGCACTGGGACCTCTGTGGTGTCTGAGGTCAATAAACAGACATTAGCCTTTCCCTCTAATGTAATGTGGAGATATCCCCTATCTTGAGATGCAACTTTTCACTGCCCTTTCGCCACAGCTCCCATTCCTCTTAGCCTCAATCTGCATCTTAGGCTCATTCATTTTTGCTTCACCAGCTCAGATCTGCTGTACCCAGTGCTGTTCCGATCCCAAACCTTCACGGAAATCTCTCGTCTTGCTGGAAATATCTGTTGATGATGGGTACAGTTCCATGCGGAATGATTCTTAGCAACCAATCCAACTGGTTAGGCATTGCAAGCCTGGTTAAATTCAGAAAGTGAAGATTTTTGAGCTTCTTCACTCAGAAATACACAGGCTTTGTCCTTAAGTGAAAGACATGGAGAGTAGGAAATTGCGTATTTGCATAAAAAAAATCAGGCTATTCACTTTCTGCTTTATTTAGTAAAATAAATGGAAAAGTTCATGTGACATCAAGCATCCAATCTGTTCCTCGTTTCAGGAGAAACCTGAAAACTGAGAAATGGTGGAACCCAGCATGGCACCAAAAGAAAAGAGAATGAGGGAAACACCTCTGGGAACTATGTGCTTTATCTTTGTTATTGCCACTTTGCTGTATCACAGAGCTGGCACGGAAGGACACAGTGTAAGGCAATACCAGAACTAGTGGAGTACTGAGAAAATGAGAGCTGGAGCCAAAAAATTAGAGAGAAAAGAGATTCCTAGAAAGGACAGACAGCATATATGTACATGGCATGGAGATGGGAATCTGTGACTGACTTGGCCCCATAATCCTACCATGCCAGTAATTCCTGAGCTGTGGGGCTCAGTGAACGCTTCAGACACCAGAAACAGATGGCTCTGGGCACAGACATTCTGTTGGCTGAGAAAGAATCATAGTTCCTCATTGGGAGCCTTCTCCTCAAGTTCCTCTTCTCCCTAAAACACATCAGAGGCATGAAGTCAGTTTTGATGTTGCTCGATTTCTTCAGCATTGTGATAAAAGGAAACAAACCAACTGGAACACCTCCCTCTGCCTTCTATGCCACTGCCCTGCATATCCCATTTCAATTGCACAACAAAGAGTACTGACACACAAAGCCTCTGTGCTATAAGAGTATGAGCCTTGACAGAGAGAGTTCTTAACACTGAATGAACATGGAGATTAGATTATCCCTCTCCCAGCAGAGACGTCTGGTAGAGTTCTGAGCCTTTGCCTGTATACTCTGTTCTGTGGCCTTCTTGACAGATTTCTTTCCTCTCCATGCCACTCTCCCTCCGACCCTCTCATGTGCTGGCTTCCTAGTGTCCAAAAGCACCCTTCACTCTGTCTCCCATCTGCTGTTCCCAGAAAACAGATGCTTCACTGACACCTTCATACGGTTGCAGAGGCCAGTGAAGTCTTCTTGCTTTAGACTAGAAGGCAGAAATCAGCGAGAAAGCAGCTCTGCAGACATCCATCTCTGCTTTCCTCTACATTCAACATTTTTCTGATATCCAGGTGAAATGAAAAAGAAAGAGGAAGGTGGCAGGGGTGGGGAGGAGTTGAAGAAAATGAAGAGAGACTTGTGAGCAACAGCATTGTCCTACAAGATACTAGGTTTCTGTAGATCGTACAGAATTTCCCCGCTACCTTCTCCATTCTTTCTAAGAAACCGTTACAGAAGTCCTGTACGCGCTCAACGGAGACTTCATCCAGAGTCAAGACATCCTGCTCCTCATCTGGTGCATTGAATATAGCCAGAGCTGGCAGCTGGGACTTCTTCAGTTTGAAGAATGACACTGTTCGTTCATTGCTCTTCAAATTAATGTCTACCAGGATAAAGAGAATCTGTGATGGAAACAGAAGAGGAAATGTGAGCAAAACAGAAAGTGAGAGAGAGAACAGCCCCCCAGACAGTGATCATATGAACATTAACAGTAATGTTTTTATAAAGAGTTAGAGAAAGCCTACCATACTCTGTTAGGACATCACTTTCCTCTGCCACTAACTGCTCCACACAGTGTATTTTTCTGTAGTTTATGAAGTCCAGTCTTACACTACCAAATAAAATGTCTTCTTTCACCTTCTTTAAAAATATATCTACACTATGGCAAGAAGGCAATTTCCACTTCGATTCTTCTAATACTTAAGGAAAGAAGATGTCTTTTGTCTTAGTGGCACATGTGAAAGAAGCTGCTTATTCTCCTTGCATGCTATTTGGATAAGATCACATCCATGCAAGACCCAGAGTGGCAGAGTAAAAAGGTGTTTTGGTGTGTAAAAATCAAACTCAATTGCAAGAATGTGGAAGTGAAGTATAGGGCAGCAGGAACCTTGTAATGGTTTAAGCCCAGCCGGCAACTCGGAACCACGCAGCCGCTCGCTCACTCCCTGCCTTCTTCCTCCTCCCGCTCCCAGAGGGATGGGGAGGAGAATCGGAGGAATGTAACTCCCACGGGTTGAGATAAGAGCACTCCAGTAACTAAGTTATAATACAAACCACTGCTGCTACCAATAATAATGATAATGATAAGGGAAATAACAAGGGGAGAGGACACAACCGCTCACCACCTGCTGACCGATACCCAGCCCAACCCGAGCAGTGATCTGGGCCTTCCGGGTGACTCCCCCCAGTTTCTATCCTGGGCATGATGTGCTGTGGTGTGGAATAGCCCTTTGGCCAGTTTGGGTCAGGTGTCCTGTCTCTGCTTCCTCCTGGCTTCCCCTCCTCCCTGACAGAGCATGAGACTGAGAAAGTCCTTGGTCACAGTAAACATCACTGAGCAACAACTAAAACCATCGGTGTTATCAGTGTTGTTCCCAGGCTGAAAGTCAAAACCACAGCACTGCACCAGCTACTGAGAAGGAGAAAAAATGACTGCTGTAGCTGAACCCAGGACAAGCCTGCAAGGATAAGGACATGAGAGAGCCAAGACAAAGGATGCATTTAAGTAAGCTGCAGTGAATAGAAATGAAGATACAATCATTTAGGAAACAAGAGTTGGTGGCAAGACACCAATGTCCATATAGCCCAGCTCAGTGGAGGATTGTTCAGACCTGGGGAGAGAAGCCCAACAATGATCAAGCAAGGATAAGAATAACCTACAGTTTTCTGGGCTCATGAATAGTCTTGGAGAGCAAGATCAAGACAAGGATTAGGATTCCAACATATGATTCACTGGCACAGGGTACCCAGAGAATCTGTGGCTGCCCCATCCCTGGCAGTGTTCAAAGCCTGGGTGGACGGGGCCTGGAGGAACCTGATCTAGTGGAAAGTGTCCCTGCCCATGGTAGCAGGGATGAAACTGCATGAGCTTTAAAGTCCCTTCCAACCCAATCCCTTCTATGATTCAATAGTATAGATTTATCAGAATTGGTGGCCAGCTCCATGGTTTTATTTTGAGAATAAGTTTTGACTGAGATCTTACAGGTGGAATTGGTATAATTTTATTTTTTTTAATCCAAAAGATTAACAATAAAATATACAGCTATCTTAAAGATCTTCATTAAATTATCTGTTCATGCTATGTAAAACCATTATACAAAAATTTTAGAAAAGAAAATAAAAAAAACCAATTGAAAAATCTAATCAGTGACCTGATCAAATAGATTCCCTTGGCTGCTGACATGCAAGTGAATGAAACAAACGTCCAGTTAACATCCACCATTTTATCTTCTCTTTATCCTGTGCAGTCTACAGGGCCTAGCATATTTAATATACTTATGGATGTGGATATAACTTAGTTTACAAAAAAAAAGAGGAGTTTAAAAAAAGGAAAGCAACGCAATGTGAAGATGATGTGTTTGGTTCCCAGGCTGTGACTCATGTTTTTCTTTCTTTTTGATCAAGAACACTCAAGTTAGTTCAAAACTTTTTCCTCTCTAAAAATAAACTTGATAAATCTCAAATTCTTTATTAAACTTGTGTTGTATAAAACCCCAAATATATCTGGAAACTTTCCTAGGCAACAGCCTATGGGAAGGATGGATAGTTAGGCTGGTGTAAGGTTTAACTCCAATTAATCACTGCAATACAGAAACAGGAATAATACCTTTCACTAGATATGTGGTTATTTACCACTTGCAATTTCTATTCCACAAGCCAACTGTACCCCAGGGGCAACAAGCTGGTGAGCAGACAGGTTGTGGAAACTTTTCCCACAGCGCTAAATTCAGCCTCTTCCAGGATAAAACACCAAGCTAGAGAAGGGCCACAAATCTAAAGGTCACAGGTCTAAGGACCCAGTCTAAGAAGCTTTTAGCTGGAGCATCAATACCTATGTTTTAGGGCTCTCCTTCCAAGTAGCAAGCTGGAAACAGAGGCCAGTGTTTGAGAGAAGCACTTTCAGAGGGTTGGTACAGATGGTAATATAAATAAATATTAGTGAATATTCTTCACTTTATCAAGCTTCCAGCCTTTGTAAAAAATCCCAAAACTAAAAAGGTGTACGTACTTCATCTATGAATACAGAGAATAGAGTAAGAACAGAAGAATAAAAAGTTTGGGGTTTAGAACTCCAAACACCTTCTTCCTTACAAAAGAAAACAAAAACACAAAACCCACTGGGCCTCAGCTAGAAAGGCTGAGATGTCATCATTCACAGCTCCCGACTTGGATCTCTCTAATGACTCACACTTGGCTCATGGAGTTACAGGATGCCAAAGCTCAGCAAAAGTTTCCTTCCCCTCATATTCCAAAAATACAAGAGAGATGGCAATTGCATTTGTCCACTGTCACTTGAAAGAAGACACCTTAACGCTTATCCCATACGTTTTAGAATGACACATTCCTGGGAGGTGCTATGACGTGGGATGAATCCTCCTTCAGCAAAAGGACATGCACCCTATGCTGGATGTGCTCCAGGGGTCCTGCTAAGACTGTGTGGACTCAGTCACACCTGTGAGGCAGTCTGTAAGGTGTGTTGGTACTGAGGCCACAAGCATTGGAAGCCTGGTCTCCTCAGCAGCTGGAAACCAAGCAAGTTTCTCAGTGGGGGCATTCCCATGATAGATGCCAGCTGGTATTTTCTCATGAGGAATTTATTTTGTTCAGAGACTCCCAGCCAGCTCCAATCATAAAGAATGAATGCAGTGACCATGGAAAATTACACTGGCCATGAGACAAGAGTTACCTTGCTAACATCTGACATCTAGATCTTAGTCTTGTGTCAGCCAGTCATTTACGTAACCTCTACAATAAATGGTGGCAGGCACATTATTCCACCTATTTTAGAAGGAAAGGAAGGACATGTCCTTCTCTACCAGTGCTGAAAGGAGCCTAAATCTTTTGCTTAGACAACTTACCAAAGCTATAATTCACAAAAAAATATCCCGCTTACGATGCCAACTGTCACGTCACTGCTAGAAACCAGGTAGTTCCATCCCAAACAGAAAGTTCGTTTTCTATTTCGTACTATCCTGTTCAATAGCTGGGTTGATTGGGGTTTTTTTGTTATTTTGAAATAATTTCCATGAAACTGTTTGATTTTGTAGCAATCTTCTTGCCTGTGTTCAGAGGTCTGCTGCTACAGGCAGCGATGGATCTCCTGCATGGATTAGGAATTCCTGGCATAAATTCTGCCCTTCACACATGATATTATCTGTGCACTGTCACCTGCAAATTTCTCTTTCTGAGAAAAGATGGAAACTTTGGTGCCATCTTGGTGTCTTGACAACTTGATTCCTGGCTGAGTGCTTTTAGAACATCAAGTTCCTGGTAAATACTAAGATATGGAATGATGTTATTGCCCAAGGAATTAAAGTTAATTGCAAATAGCACTGCAACGGTAGAAACCAATTTGATGTAGCTTAGTTTTTCCTCTAAGATAAACAGGAAGAATGATCAAGCCTCATGTCCAGTGGTTGATTTTGAGCTTCATGAAGCTGCAACCTCCATTCTTTGAGGAGACTGTATAAGCAAAAAGATTAAGTTCTGTAGACTGAGTAATTTCTTACATAGCTTGCACAGTACAGCAGAGAAAACCAGAAACATCAGTCATGAACTAAAAAAAAAACAACCAAAACAAGTTCACTGCAGATATTGTTACATGACATACACAATCCACATTTACAGGCTCCTCCGGTTATGGCTAGAAGAGGCATGTCTAAATATTATCTCTCTCAGTTCTGGGGCCATCAATGTCTGACAAGAAAAATCAAGTGTGAATGACTGCCTGCAAAAGAAAGGGCACCATCCTTTCATTTCCATGGATGTACTCCAGAAGGATTCTCAGGAGTTTCTCAGAACCGATTTCTAAATAGGCCTACATATAAAGCACAAGGGACTTTGCAAACATCTCTATCCAAATAATTCTGACATTGTAAACCACTTATATCAGTTGCAGCAAAAGTTGCCTTTGTAATTCCCAACATCACCTTATTGAAACTTCTGCAAACATCCATGAGGTATGCCAGCTGTAATTGACATGTTATGCTCTGATATTGTGGAAAGAATATTGAAGATGCTTATGTTAATTTGGCTCAGCAATGCAAACCCTGACATTTCCTTTCCAGCAGAAAGCCTAGACTTTTGGCAGTGCTTTCCCAAACACACACATATTTGGTTGCAGTGGGATCCTTCAAGAAGGCTGGTGGGTTCACTCCTGCAGCTGCAGTGCCCTGAGCTCTGTGTGTTCACTCTTACCCACCCACACTTGTTTCAACTTCTGCTAGAAAAGTACCATATTCTTAATCTTGTCAGCTCTTGCTGTTTTAGCATCACCTAACCTTCACATTTTCTTCTCCAGGAATCAACTGCTCTAAGATACTGATGCTCAGAGTGCAGTTCAGGCTGTTTTCAAGTAACAGTCCTCACCATACGGCCTCATGGACCCTCCAGCTGAAAATCGCAGTTTCCTCTCAGGCAAAAATGAAAAGATCATAAACCAGAGATGAAGGGACTATAATCCAGGAACTGGCAGATGAATCATTTCCTCATGATCCATTAACAGTTGGACTTGATGACCTTAAGGGTCTTTTGTAACCTAAATTACTCTATTTTCTTTGGTTTTCTTCATTCTTTAGGGTCAGTCACTCAGCAGAGGCAGTTCCAATTCATCTCTCCATCAATGCGGGCAACAAATGTCTCCTCTCCCTCTACCTGATGATGACAATGACAAGGACTCCTCTTCCCTCAGAGCAAAGTATAGATGTGTGAAAGGATTGGTACCCCTTCTCCTGCTGGGGAACGCTCTTGAGGCTCTGTTTGTGTTCTGCACTGGCTTGTAGAGAAGTTGCAACACACACACAGTCTCCCCACTCTGTTCTGGCACTCTGCAGTCACTGTAAAGCGCTGATGGATGCAGTGGTACATGCTCACAGGGAGCCTAAACACCTCTCTACTGCACAGAGATTCCTTGCTTGAACTATTGACAGCACTAACCCCTCTGCACAAACAAGCCTTTCACCAGCAACCCACAGGCTGTGAATTATTCACTGGTAATCCTGAATAAAATTCAAGTCAAGAATCTTGCATTTATTCACAGACAATCTGTGAGCTGTAAAAAGGCAAAATCTACTCATTACTTTACTTATTTTGAAGTAAATGTGAGTTAACTTGGTGATCCTGACAACAGATAACTCCACTTAAAATTAGCTAGCAGAGATTTCCATGGTCTGTGAATTATTCACTGGTAATCCTGAATAAAATTCAAGTCAAGAATCTTGCATTTATTCACAGACAATCTGTGAGCTGTAAAAAGGCAAAATCTACTCATTACTTTACTTATTTTGAAGTAAATGTGAGTTAACTTGGTGATCCTGACAACAGATAACTCAGAAAAATTAGCTAGCAGAGACTTCCATGGTATTGTGCAGTAGCTGCTTCTGATACCCAAACTAACTGATGTCTTTCTACATGTCAGAGCAAGAAACAAACCTAAGACAAACCCTTATTCCATACTGTCTGCTTATTCCTTACTATCTAGCTCTAAGACCCAGAGGGGTCCTAGTTCTCTCTTACTGCTTTGTAAGAGGGCAGCACAAACCACAATTTACTCCTCAGAGTGGCACTCCTTTATGAAAAACAACTTATTAGACTCTAAGTCCCTTCATCTACATGTCCTTCAGTGCCACTGCAGTAGAAATAATTAGTCAAATCCCCACATCTTTAATCTCTGTTTCTACTACAGGGAACTTCTAGACTGATTTGGTGGGAAACTTGCCTGGATGAAGAATAATAAAAATACATTAGATTTGGCTTGCTGGCAACCCATAACTTATCTGGACTTTGGTAGAACATTTTATCCAATGTTTTGTGAAGTATTTCTAGGAAAATTATTCACATTTTCTCAGCTCTAGGCATGCCACATGAAGAGAAAGCTAGCCGCAGCTGCATCAGCGAAGGATAGTGATGCTAAACGGTAATGTGCTATGTTAGAGGAGTTAGCTGCTTGGAGGGGGGAGACCTGTATCAAACGCTGCTGTTCATGGAGGACAGTGCTAGTGGGGTCACTATAAAACACATCTCACATGAGGCGGCTGTCATTTTTCAGATAAGCAACTTTTATCACTACGTCTTCGTCAAAGCAAAACACTTTTGAAAAGACCTTTTGACTTTGATGCATGGTTTCTGCCTGATGTCTTGCCAGTGGGACAGATGGCAAGGTCCAAAGTAGTCTCAAGACTCTAGAGGCGCACAGCTCTGAAATGGCCCCTCCATTTGAGGATGATTATATACTTGATTTTTAATCTGCCCCTTCAGTACCACAAACAGATGCACGTCAAAGCAAAACACTTTTGAAAAGACCTTTTGACTTTGATGCATGGTTTCTGCCTGATGTCTTGCCAGTGGGACAGATGGCAAGGTCCAAAGTAGTCTCAAGACTCTAGAGGCGCACAGCTCTGAAATGGCCCCTCCATTTGAGGATGATTATATACTTGATTTTTAATCTGCCCCTTCAGTACCACAAACAGATGCACGCAGATGTTCTTGTTCTCAAACCACAACTCTTTCCAGCTCCACACATCACCCAGGAAGATCTCTTCCACTGCCTCTCAGCTCAGCCTTCCCTCCTGCTGTGATCTTCTGCCTCCTCCCTTCTAATCTTCTCCTTACCCCAAATGCCTTCCTTTGCTTGCCAGTTCCTTCCTCTGTTCCCTGGACACAAATTCCCCTGTAATCCAGCTGCTGGCAGAGAATCAGCCATGGGATGATTTACTATCTGGGAAGCTCTGTCCACAGTGGGGTGGGAACCAGACAGAATTTCTCTGAAAGACCCCATCAATCCCATCACCTTAGTGTGGGAAATCTGACAAACCTACTCGCAAGTCTTTTAAAAACAGTTCTTTCCCCAGGATACAGCCAGAAGTCTAAGGGTTAAGAATCACTGCAACATTAATTGCTATCACTGGTCACTTATATAATGCTCCTTGGCATCTTGAAGGCTGTATATACAAAATCATCTCTCACACCAGTGGAATGCAACCATCACCAGAATGAAGTGCAGCAGCTGTTTGTCATCTCCCAGTACAAGAGAACAAAACTGGACCAGAAGCAAGGAAGTACATAATGTCCCCCTGAGGGAGCAGAGGAGAAGGATACAGAGGATGTTTTCCCCACAGGGAGGAAAACTGGTGAAAAGTGAACAGATCCAAGCCCTCCACTTAATTATCCAACCAATTCTCTTTTCCTGCCACTTGGCTTTGCTGCCCTAATCCACAGAGAAGGAGATAATGCCATCCCCATCTTCTAAAGAAATCACTGCTCGACAAATCTCTGTTTGGACTTACCTTTCCCTTGAAGAGCTCTGCTGCCTCCCGATATCTGCGCATTTGCTCGGGGTACTTTGGGGATGTTTTGTCTGTGATCAGGAGAAGGTGAAGCTGGAACGAACTCTGCATCACACCTATTGCTGTCTGCCGAGAACATAGCCACCACAGACAGAGAGAGAAAAACACACAGGCCACGAGATTGAGAACATTCAATCCACATTGGTTGCAGCACTGAAGGGACACTGGTCCTCATGTCTCAGCTTAGATTTCTTTGCAAATCAGCCTCCCAAACACGACATCTCTCTTTAAAGCAGAAGAGATCCAATCTGGGTGCTCTGTGGAAGCACTTAACCTCATGACTTTGCTTATTCCCAGGATGAGAGTCTGAAGACCACAAGGATTCATCACTGGCCTCAGGATAGTCAGAGACTAGGAAGGGGGACTTCCTGGATACAACAGGCTGAAAACTAGGGGGCCAAAGAAGATGAGAGGGAAGGCCAGCCAACACTGACCATAAGGGTGCCCTGAACCACTGAGATCCACCACCTGGCCAAAATGGGAGCAAGAAAGTGGGAAGGATTTGTAGTGTCAGGGTTGGTGTCTTTCCTTATTTCTTTAGCATTAAGCTGTGTGTAGGATGGAGATGAGGCCAGAGTTTCAGCAATGCCAGGGCCTGGGCATTCTGGAGTGCTGAGAGTTAAAACTGCCTCCGCAGTCTCACAGGGGGAGACCTGGAGCCAGCTGTTCTTCATCCCCTGGGTAAAGGCCAAGTGGGCAGCACACAGCGGCCCTCTGTGAAGGAGACAGTGCTGGCACTGCCCAAGAAGGTGCTGCACCATCTTCGGGCATTCACTCACTCACTCACTCATCACTTTGCTTCTCCTTCTACCCGCTTCCTGCAGTCCTGCAGCCTCTCCCTCAAATTAAACACCAGTCCGACCAGAGCTGCTGCCTCCCCGTGCCACCGAAACCACAGAGGTGCAGACTGTGCAGCTCACTGTCAGTGGGAGAAAAAGTTTCCACACGCTCCAGGAGTAATAAGGAAAGGGTCAGGGAGTGCACGCTGGCAAGGGCCATGCATCACAAAGCATCTAGTTGTTGAGAGCCAGGACTCTGCCATTAGCCTCACGCTTATGGGGTATTTTGTATCCCTTCACTTCTCTGGTGGTGTGCAGATGGGGCAGGGGAGAATAGAGGGAGTGCAAACCGAGGCTGGAGAGCATTAGAAGACCTCATGGGAGAGGACGGGGCTGAAGGTGAGGGTGAAGCCACCCAGCACCAAGGGTCATGACAAGTCTGGGCTGAGAGCAGGCAGTCCTGGAGAGCAGCTCCTTCTGCAGCTCCACAAAAAGGTGTGCCTGTCCAAGATGTGCAAGAGCAATCAGCAGAGCTCATCAGCATGGCTGTGTCACATCTGACTCTCCTGGAAAGCCTAAAAATGCCTGAAGTATGTGGGAGAAACAGTAAGGGCCCCAGGATGGGGAGGGAAACTCCTGGCAGCACTCAGTGTGATCCCGCTGCCCGGCAGCATTCTTAGATGTAAACAGCATATGCACTGGGAATAAATATTTACCAAAAACCAAGCTACAGCAGTGGAGCTGGGAGGGCTTTGGGCTGGAGACTGCAGGAGACACCGTCAGCTCCAGCACCTTGACAGGATTCCAGAGCATCTGTCAAAAAAACTGGAACAACGTGTGTACTGCCAGTCAGGGCAGAGGGGACCAGCTGAACAGCTCAGGGCTTCTCTGTCAAGGGAGACAGCTTGGGTGCTGAATGGGATGCCACGGAGCAAGAGCCCAAAGCATCAGCAGAAATGCGTGAAGAAAGAGTCATGATCTAATTAATTGCTAAGAGATGCAGTGGAAGCTCCAGGGGTTCAAAAGGCCTGGGCAGTTACAAAGATAACAAGAATGTCCCTGCTGACCTAACTTGAGTGTTCACTGCAAGGATAATGGGATAGGATGAGGTTCTTCTGTCCAAAAATACTCTGTAATTTTGAGATTAGTTTTTCACACTGTTTAGCAAGAGAAAAAATATCCACTTTTTTCTTTCTTTTTTTTTTTTTAAACAGAACTTCTCCAGTATTTCATCGTGGAAACAAAATGTTGCATTTCCAAAACAAAATGGTCTCTCTACTGGCAGGCTGCAGCTAAACTGAGGAATTTGTCAGCCCTCTTACCTGAACCTCGGCATCAGCTTGAAAAGATACGGCTTTGAAACAGGTTGGGACATTCTCCTTTCAGTAAATTGAGCCAGGTCAACACTGTTACAGCTGTCCAGCAGTCTGCAACAGACCCCATCAGCAATAATAAAGTCTCAGCCTTGCAGCCACTGGGACTTCTAAGACCTATTGAATCCACAGCAATGCGACCAGTGAACTGCTGAGATTTCAGAGGAGCCTAAATCCTTGGTTACCCTCTAAAGCGGGAAAGAGCGCTGGCACCCTGCCACTGCCAGTCAGATGGGTGAGCTAACGAAGATGTCCAAAGTATGTCTGACTTTTTTGTTGTTGAACTGATGAATTCTGAAGTAAGGGATGGAGGGAATGGGAAAAATTTTGCTTGGGAAGTTTCCAACCGACTCTTGAATATGCCTTCAAATAAGCCAGATTTACGTCAAGCCATGTGTGCTGCTGGGCCATGAAGAAAAGTCTGCCTTCTGGCAGTTAGTCACTCAAGCTCCCATGTTTCTCTAGGCTTCTCAGTCAAAGAGAGGGGATCTGGCTGAGAAGAGTCTGCAGGCACAGCACAACAAGGCAAATACCATGTTGGGAGGAAGCAGCGCTGCTAAGGAGTGGTAAGAAATGGAGCTCTCGGCCCACCAACACCCCAAATTTACTGGAAAACTAAATGAACCACCACGTCTCCCTTCCTCCCTCCACCCCACTCTCATGTCCCTGCACAGCATTTGCTTCCAGTCCCCATGTGGAGCCTCAGCAGAGCTGTGTGCCTTCTCCCATCCACGTGCCACAACCCTCACACACATCTGGGTATGCAAACTCTTGGACCGGAGGATGTCCCTGAGGAGGAGGCCAAGGGCCAGGGTGAGGGCTGTGAGGAGCTTGTAATTACCACAGGGGTGTACTCTGTCACCAGGCGGAGCTCGTTGATCCGGATGAAACGAGTCATCTTCTCAGCATCGATATCATTGTTGTTCATGTCCAGATCCTTACGCTGATTGTCTACCTGAAGACATGCAAAGACACCTACAGTCAGAGCTGTCCTCTGCTCACATCGCCCCCTCCATCAGACGCACTGATGGCACTCACTCACAGAGACACCTACCCCTGGGACACCACCACCCTCTCCCCATCACCACATAATCCTCAATTCTGGAAGTCCAGCACCTACGGAGACCAGCCTGCACTTCAAGATAAGGATCTTCCACTCTCTTTCAGTTTCCTAAAGACAAGGCAAACTCATGGCATTACAGAAATCACCAAGGACTCCAGACATCCCTACAATATCCTCTCCTGATGCACTGGAGACAGGAAGGATTAGCTGATAAACTATTCTAGGTGTTGTGGGGAGAGACACTGAAATAGCCTAGCTCCTAGCATCGATTCTGGCTTTACATTCCTTTTCAAAATCTTTATCTGTTGATTCTATTTCTTCTGCAAGTAATAAACATTGGCATGGGCCTGTGTGGATTTTCTGGAAACCTTGTGCAAGCAGGAAATCTCTCCAATAAAAAGAGAACATTTTTCCCCAGTACAGCAGGGGGGAAAAAAAAAAAAGAAAAAGAAAAAATATCAAGCACAGCACATTTTATCTATAAAGGAAAATTCCCCCTGCACACATCTCCCCACACACCCCAAACTTCCTTCCTCCCTCCCCTCAGATGATGTAATTTTACTGAGGTTTTTGTGACCTTGTAAACAGAAAAAAACCCAAACAGTCAACCACTGAATGATAGCTAAAGCACCTGAAGGGGCAGAGTTGCTGTGCAGTACATGCAGGACATGACTGAGTGGAGCCATGAGGACACTGGGCTCTGATGCATAATAGGATCAAAGTTTGGGATTTGAAGGGCTTCGATACACATGTTGAATGAGGTTCTCGGGGCTAAGGAAAAGTCCACATGCGTACCCCATATTTTACTCTCTGCATCTGTAAAAACCTCTGGAAGTGCTTGTGTTAGTTTTCCCATTGATGTGCAGACATCTAAAGCCCTTTTTGCTGTTCTGTGGTCATTTGAAGAGTCTTTGATCTGGTAGGGGGCCACAGCGCCCTGTCTGGCAACCTAAACTGGTGCTTTTCAGACCGTACAGCCTCATTCCTCTCACAGATTTTCCTTCTGCATAAAACGAAAGGGCAGCTCTACTCAAGTAGATTAGATGAGGCCAATATGACACCTTGGTGGGTGAGAGCAGACAGGCCTTGGGAACCAATCTAAAGCACTCCAGACTCCAGGAAAAGTCTTCTCTTGACTTTCATGGGCTTCTGAAAACACCTGATTTCCATTTTGGGATAATAACTTCTTAAATCTGTGCTCAACATTTATGATTTTAAGGAAATAAGGCTGGGAAATAGCCTGCATGTAATAGTTGAAGCTCTAGTCAAAATGTCTTTATCACTCCACATAACTAGCTTGCTAGCATCTGTTAATTGTGTTCTTTATAGGTCTATCAGTCCGGATTCCTCGCTAGAACAAATCAGTTTCCCTTCACCATATGCAAAGTGTCACCAGCTGACAGCAGCCCATCCTACTACTGTAATTATGGTTTAAACTTCTAAGCATTCTAAGTGTTTCATGCTCCACAAAAGCAAAATAAAAGTGAGTTTATGCTTCTGATTCACTGCTATCCTGGTCACACGTCTTTGTATTCTTCAAATAAGTATTTGATTCCAAGTTCCTGTTTCAGTTCTTTTTCTCTTTTCATCTCTGATCCCTTACTCCTACAGGGTATTCAGCACAGAATAAAAGGAAAAATGATGTATTTGAATAACTCAATTTAAGAAAACCTGACAATTAGATAAGTGAGTTGTCAACCACATTTAAACCTGACTAGTGTATTAGTTTCCTGGTTGGTTTTTATTTTATTTTGTTAGGATTTTTTCCCCCTATTAAACAAGAGTTCAGCTGCAAAAACTGGACTGTGAACAAAGAATATTCAATATATAATCCAAATTCCAACAATCCAGACATTTTCTTTTATCAGACACCCTCCCAGTGCAGTCATCCTCACCACAGTGAAAAACAAAGGATCTTTTCAGTACTTTTGGAAGAAAATCATCGTGACTAAGAAACAAAACTGAGATGGTTGTCGCTTCAAATTGCAACACCTGCACATAGCAAATAAAAGGTTAAATAAAAGGACCTGCCTACCTATTGCTCATTCTTAGATCATCCTCTTTGAATTATTTGGGTAATGCCAGTGGTAAACACGGTGCAGGAAACAGTGAGAAAGAAAGGGGAACAAACTGGCTTTGTCCAGTCTTAGGCCAACCTGGATCTAGGACTTGGCCAAGCTGTCATATTTAGTTTCTGTAGTGCACACAGTGTGTCTCCATTGCACTCCCCTTCCCAGGGTGTGCTTAGAGCTCTGGTGACACAATAAACTTCACTGGCTTTTAGGACACCTTGTGCTGCCGAGGGCCCCTCTCCTTCTCAGATACACCTCTCTCTCCAGTGGTCTAGTGCCACACTTGTGTGAGAAGGGGCCACACCAGGAAATGGATATAACCAGTAGAATACTTACTCTTAGCTTTCTTAGGCACTCTTGAAGCAAGTACACAGCCCTTCCCAATATCGTCTCTTTAAATTTCAGCAAACATAGCTTTAACTTCAGTGAGGCACCAGCACTTACAGCTGGATGCAACTGTGTCCATCCCTAAGAAACTGCAAAGTAACATTTTTAATGGGCCCATGCCCAAAGCATATTTAGGGAATAACTGCAAATCACAGTATAGCAGACAGAAAAAGTGTTTGGGACTACTTCTGGTGGCAGAGCATGTAGGACTGCAGAGACCCGGTCCAGATCTGTTTTCAGTCACGATGGAAAGGTTGTGCACTGAGTGAAGACAGCTTTGCCTGTCTGAAGTGATGCTTGGCAAGATTCGGTACCCTGCCTGCAGTGTTGCTCTGTTGTAATGTGGCCTCTAAATGCTCTTCATGTGTCTGAGGAGCCTTACCAAAATCACGGGGACCCCATCCAAGTAAAACTAAGTTCCAGGCAGGCTACTCAGAAACATAGACACCATTCTTTGCACTGGGTGCTGGACCAGATCCATAGGGCCAACACTTAAAATGGATAATCTTATCAGGTGTAATAAATGTTGCATATTTTGGTGATGGGCACTCTGCAAGTGAAAAGCAAAAGGCCTCTTTGGGGCAGGAAGCTCTACAGAAGAGCTTTTAGGCAGGCAGGCAGTGACTGTCAATGACAAGCCTTTTTGTTTATTTTGGATTGCTCTAAGGTGCCTGCCCCGGGCAGGGACCCCTTCCACTAGAGCAGGTTGCTCCAAGCCCCTGTGTCCAACCTGGCCTTGAACACTGCCAGGGATGGGGCAGCCACAGCTTCTCTGGGCACCCTGTGCCAGCGCCTCACCACTCCCATAGTGAAGAATTCCTACCTAATGTCTAAGAGATGAGCAGTTTTAAACTTCTCTATCACTACTACCTGGAGATTTCACTTCTCTACCGTGACTGCGGGCAGGTCTTTAGCACTTGCCCTAGAGCCCCTCTTATCAAACCCAGCGGGCAGGGAAACTCCTAACTCGAGGAGGTGATACTGGGGATACAGCTTGTTGCACGACAGCCTGTTTCCCGAGGCGGGAGCTGCTCGG